ATACTACAGCATACCTTCAGAGGTCTAGTGGAGTCCATGCCTGGATGTGTGAGGAAAAGAGGGACCTACCTAATATTAGGGGGGTGGCCATAATGTTATGGCTGACTGTTGCATATGTATATATGTCTATATGGATGAATCCCATTGTCCTTGATTGTTTCCTATATTCATAACTCCAACTTTGTTTTTTTGCAGCCCTTTTGTTTGCGGCCCTCGAAACATGTTGGCCGCCTTTTGGTTTTCCCCTTGTAGAAATAATGGAAGGCTTCAGACTCCTCAGGCATTTGTTTGGCACTGTTGTTTTGGCTCAACTACAATGGAAATGAATGGCACGGCATTACGTGGCACAAGTAACACTTTTAGACGTTACCTATAACATAACAAATCTTCCTCTTTCTAAGGCCCGGACCATTTTATCTACAGCAGGCCGGCTGCCCTGCCAGAGTGAAATACAAATCCTTTTGGCAGACTAAGCGGCCTCCCCATATAAGAATTTCATCTGTGTATTTAGCAATTGGCCCGGAGTTCAGCTTTAAACAGACTTTTACAATCTTCGCTGTTGTAAAAATATTGGCGAGTTCAACTTGTTCCTTAAAAGCAGCAACACATCCTGACAAGACTGCAATGTGTTACAGAAACCCATTAGTCTGATATATATATATCCATTGAACATGTTCAGATCCTTCTTGATGCCGATATGATCACGCTTTCCAGCAATGAATATTGACTTGTGCTCTCTCAAATCCCGAATGTGAGATTCAATGAGCTACAACATATTTTCAAATTAGTTCTAACAGCAAAAACAAGAGAAGTGAACGCGCTTCTACCACATTGAATGGAATGAAGAAGTATTTGTCCTCCCACTCGGACAGATGAATACCATGTGCTGGAGCCTCTCGTAGAAGCTCCATCATCAGAAGTGCTGCCAATGTTTGTTTCATGCCGAACGATCCACCTTCCTGACATTGGCTGAACAAGAACAAGATCGTTCCAAAGCACTGTGGACCTCAGAGCAATATGTTATCATGTAAAAGGAACCTGTCAGTATATAAATAAAGCTGTTACCATTGCCAACATAGTTTCCAAGGTGAAAGCTTGTGCCGTCATCCCCGTCCTTGTCTCACTCTGACCTAGAAAGAGTATGCGGATCAGGAGCTGGGACTTCACACGTGTGACAGATCGGTATCTCTCACTAGGTAGATGGGAAGCCTCTGCAAAGCATATCAAATGTTCCCCCCTTCCGGAGAGAGAGCACACAAAGGCAGAGGAAGGCTCGTCTGAGGAGAGAGGGAGATTTTTAAAGTCTGCTCCTCGGGCTTCTTCTGCTCTTGCCACCAGTAGCAACCTTCATAATGTTATCAAGAAGGTCCAAAGGGACATTGTCCCTTGAAGGCCATGCAGGTCAGACCCTTCTAGAATGTGGATTCCTCAGTTTAGCACTTAAATCAAATTTCCCAACGCATGTGTACTGTCAGAAGACCCTTCATCAGGCTAAACATTTCTAGTCTGATGAAGGGGACCTTGTGTGGCCCCGAAACGTTGATCTTCGCTTCAATATGGTGTGCTGGTGACATCTTTAACAAGTTTCAGCGGTGCCCTCCGCGATCACTTTGAGCACCTATGCTGAAAGGGATACCCGGGAAGGAGTGCAGCAGGATTCTGGAAACCATGCGAGAGATGAGCGGAATAGCCTCCAACAAACCATCACAAAAGGAAGTTCAAACCTACAGCCATTTGTTACAAGGGGAAAAGTGGTCCAAGGAAGGAAAATCTGAACAGGCGACGGGGGTCATGGGCAGCCAAGGCTCACTGATGTACGGCCGTACATGACCCTGTTGCCTGTTCAGATTTTTCTATAAGCAAGGGACCAACTGAGACAGTTGTAAGATCTTGGGGATTTTGACCAGTCGTCCAGGGTTTGGCTCAATCACAGCCAGAATGGGATGAAGGGCAGGGTTCGCAAGCCAGAAGAGTGTTCTAGAAAGGGCTTCCAACCGGTTATCAGTTGGGTCTCTAAAGACAGCTGCATCCTCCATTATTATACAGGAATTATATAGCGCCAACAGTTTGTGCAGCACTGTACAATATAAGGAAAACAGAACAATTACAATCCAAGATGGTAAGGAGGGCCCTGCCCCTTTTACAATCTAAAAGGGAAGGGAAAGTAATACATGAGGAGGGAGCTTTGTGGGGATGAATTGTTTGAGAACGTGATAGTTCAGTGGTTTAGGTTGAGATGGGATAGGCTTCTCTGAAGAGATGAGTTTCAAGGGATCACCTAAAGGCAGTCAGAGTAGGAGATAGACGGACAGGTTGGGGTAAAGAGTTCCGTAGGATGTGAGAGACTCTAGAGAAGTCCTGGAGGCGAGCATGGGAGGAGTTGACAAGGGAGCTGGAAAGCAGGAGGTCTTTGGAAGAGCGGAGGGGACGGTTAGGGTGATACTTTGAGACAAGGCTGGAGATATATCCGGGGGCAGAGTTGTGGATGGCTTTGTAAGTGGTTGTTAGGATTTGGAACTTTAGCCTTTAGGCTGGTATGGTAGTCGCTTTATTAAGGTGGAACACTGCCGATCCCACAGTGGGGGTAGACCACTTTTCAACAAAATCCTCCCCAAAACAGGTACAGAGCTAATTAGCAAGGGGCTTGTAAAGGTTTTTCCAATCTCCAGAGTGAAAGCACTAGAACGAGTGCAACTGACAAGTCTTTGAGGCTGGAGGTGCTCTAGATCAGGGCTTCTCAACCTGTGTAACCTCAGGAGCCACATTTGTCCAAGACTGGAGAGACTCAGATTTGAAATCTTAGCAATTCTTAGGGCTCAGAATCTGCCAAGGCCAAACGTAGATCAGATACAGAATGTAAAGAAGGCACAGCAGTGTGCTTGTGGCCTCTCAGTCATATAACTGGGTGATTTGGGCAATGCATGCCTATAGTAAAAACCTCAAGTGAAGGGGCAGAAGAACCGGCCACACTTGATGAAGCTAAAGAGGTCTCAGATGACGCCACTGACTCCAGGAGCAGAGGGCAACCAGATACCAGGCTGCAGACGTTGGCACTATCAGTAAGAGCCCTGTAAGCAGCTCCAAAACCGTTGACCTACAGCCTATAAGGGGGGGCCCATGTACTTGAGATCACTCCTGGTGCCCAGCCTGACCATTTTATTCAAAGAGTGAGTCTTCAGAGACGGGCCAAGCACAGAGGCACTATAACCCGACAGTATAAGACTTTTGTCCCTTCATAGAGGAAAAATAGTAAATAAAAGGGCGGGCTCTATCGGACTTGCTGCAGCTTTAATGGACAATGATCAACAAGTGTTACCTAACTGCAACAGATATAGATCCGGTCTCCTGCCCTGTCAGAAAGGGCTGTGCAATGTCACAGAGACATGAAACTGGATGGACAGACCTACAATTTCCTTGGCAAGAAAAACAACTTTCGGATATGTATTTCATTATTGTATTTAGTGGTTAACATTTTTTTCCAGGAGTCTTAGTACGTCACTATACAGGACAGCAAAGCCCTGAATGTTATCCCCAGACATTACTAGTATCACAAGGAAATCAGAGCTGTCCCCAGACATTACTAGTATCACAAGGAAAGTAGAGCAGTCCCCAGACATTACTAGTATCACAAGGAAATCAGAGCTGTCCCCAGACATTACTAGTATCACAAGGAAAGTAGAGCAGTCCCCAGACATTACTAGTATCACAAGGAAAGTAGAGCAGTCCCCAGACATTACTAGTATCACAAGGAAAGTAGAGCAAGCTTCAGACATTATTAGTTTTACAAAGGAAAGTAGAGCAGTCCCCAGACATTACTAGTATCACCTATGTAAACCTTTAACCCCCACCACCTGGAAATAGGGAAAAGGACGCAGTCTTAACTGCAGCCTGACACATGTTTATATTACTCCCATCCCTCTCCATTTTCTTTTTACATATGAAGATACAATCACATCATCATCATCATCAGGTCATGTTCACCCCCTTAAAGTCACTGCGCGATCCTGAACGCCCTGGAGTAAAAGCAACACTTACTCTCGGGGCCTTCGCTGCCTTTGTTCCTCCTCGTCCTTCGTAAATGCCTGCTGCCTTCTTCCAGATGTGACATGTCTTCAGGGCTCAAGCTGTTTAAGGAGGCCATCTGCAGAGAAATGGAAACAAGATGACGTCTTCAGTGTGAGACAAGGTGACAAAAAAACATGGGATCTGTAGAACTCGAGTTAAATGGTGTGTTTACAACCTGGAATTGAAAGTAGATGGGGACTTCACCCACAGACTGGCCAACCATAGAGGGACTCCTACAAATAGACCTACACCCCCATGCTTTATACCATCGGACCTGAGACAGAAGCATAACTCTACAAGCGGATAGTCCAGATACAATTTTAGTCCAATGTAAAGTAAGACAGAAAATCAAATAAAGAATTCAAAACATTTGGG